CCCCCCCCCCAAGACTGCAGGCCTACACAACGCCCTCCGGACGCTTGCTCCTCCAGACCACCAGCGCCGTCACAAGCAGGGTCACCAGGATGGGCACCGCGATGAAGGGGCAGAGGATGCTTCGGGGCGGGTCCCGCACAGCCCGGCCGGAGACGGGGCAGTTCCTGAAGTAGTGCCGGTGGACGGCCACAAAGAACTTGTCCACGGCCGCATTTGGCCAGAAGCAGCCCAGCTGGTCCGCCACGTGCCTGGTACAGTCAGTGAGCACTTTGTAGCTCCTGCGGGTGCAAAAGCGGCTCATTAGCCCCCGCGCGGGCAGAGGCCCGAGGCAGGACCCGGCCGGGGCTCTTCGCCTCATCCCCCCTGGCGCCGAGCAGCCCTGGGGGTCCTCCCCCGGCCCGGCTCCAGGAGAGGAAGGCCCTGGAAGGTCCTGTGGGGGCTCCCGGATGTCCTGCAGGCGCCCACGCCCTGGAAGGCGGGCTGGGGCTCGGGGACGTCCCTCCTCGCTTCTGGGATTCCAGGGACCGGGACGCACCTGCCGGGGCAGCCTACGAGGGGGGCCTACGAGGGGGGCCGTTCCGACGGCGGCCTGGCTCAAGAAGCCGTCAGGGCACAAACCCGCAGCCTCTCCAGCACCTCGCTGTCCCCTCCCCCAGGCAGGCCACCCAGCCTGGAAGGCGGGGCTCCCCACCGGGCCTGGTCTCCCAGCACGCCCCTCCCCCCCTGCCGCTGGAGCCTCCGGGAGCGTTCATCACCTTTCATGGTGCAGAGCCACATCTTAATTTTATTCATTGGGTGGAAATGCTGAGGACAGGGATCTGGTCTGTTTTGTTCACCTCTGCAGTCCCAGTGCCTAGAAGGGTAGTTGGGACGTGGCAGGCGTGAGTTGGCTGTTTGGTCCTTTTTTTATTGTGGTAAAATAGAAATCATGTTTACTTGTTTGGGTTTTTTTTTTGTGTGTGTGTGTGTTTTTTTTTTTTTTTTTTTTTTGCTATTTTAACCATTTAAAAAATTTTATCTATTACTTTTTTTGACAGAGAGAGAAAGAGAGAGCATCCCAAGCAGGCTCTGCACTGTTAGCATAGAGCTCGACGTGGGGCTGAATCCCACAAACTGTGAGCTCGTGACCTGAGCTGAAACCAAGAGTCGGATGCTTAACCAGCTGAGCCACCCGGGCACCCCAAGTAAATTACTTTTTAATAAATGAAGATTGAAATCAGGGGATATTAAAATGCGGTTTCCAGAAGATGAGTCCCTTCTGCTTCTACTTAGCAGGTAGAAAGTTGTAAAACAAACAAACAGACAAAAAATCCCAAAACAACAACAACAACAAAAGCCAAAGAAACCACAAAACCCTATGTTTTCTGGAGTCCGTCAGAGAGTAGAGGCTACAAACCAACGAAGTAACTTGTTTCAGGGACCGTCCCGCCTGGGGCAGAGCACGGGAACAACAGACATGAGAAGAAACCCACGACTGACAGACTGCAAAGACCAACTAAGCCTAGAAGGTCAGTCTGGAATTCCTGGGTCCCCAGACACCCCGGTGGTTTTGTGACTCCCCACTTTTTCCCACGAGGCTCCAGCCGGTGCTCGTGAGAAAGATTAGCGGCAGGCAGGGGACTGGCTGTCCCTTGGGGCCAGGCACAAACACTGCACGTTTCTTGAATACTTCTCAGGTAAGAATCAACAGCCTGTGACCCCTGCAGGAAGAGTGGCTGATGGCGAGGAACAGACTGCAGCCCTTCCTGCTTTCCCAGACCCTCCCCGCCTGGGGAGCAAACGCCCTCAGCGGCCGAGGGAGGGACGGCACAGCCTGCCGGTGCCAGGGCACAGGAGAGAGGCACTAGGGCTGACAGAGGAAGAGGAAAGACTCTTCCCCCTCGGGAGAGCGGGCCTGGGATCCTGCATGATACCAAACAGAGGGGCAGGGATCTCCCAGCCAAGACCCCACGGACCCAGGGCAGAGTTGGGCCACCACAGGGAGCGGCCCGAAGGCGTGTGGCCTGTCTGAGCTGAGGCTCTGTCCCCAGCATAGAACCGCAAGCAGCCACTGTCTGCTACCTGGACAAGGTGGAGAGAGACCGGCTCAGGCGTGCAGGGCGGGACACCGCCCTGAGGAAGATTCACCAGCCCCCGCTGGGACCGCAAGGCGGTGGCAGCCATTGCTACAGGTACGGAGGCCTGTGGTGCTCTGAAAGTGACCACGGCAGCCACAAACCCCAGACCCAGCTCGGTTCCTGACAGGATGGACTCCAACCCCACACCAACAGCCTGGCGGGAGAGGGTGACCCACTGCCAGAGACGAACACTAGTCGCCTCCGTCTCTGATGTTCTCTCCACGAATGTTCCGTATTCAGATACGAAGTTACGAACTTTTCACTCAGAAGCAACAAAACCCAAGCAACGTGTTGCCAAGAGACAAAACAATGAACAGAATCAGACTCATTGATGACCTAGATGTTGAAACTATTATGCAGGGACTTCGAGGAGATGATCACGACAAGGGGTCTAGGTGAGCAATCAGATAATCTACACCCACAGAGCCTTGTAGCAGAGACGTGAAGCTGTAAGAAAGCTAGAGAGAAATGCTAGAAATAAAATGAAACCTGTATCAGAGAGAATTCCCTTGATGAGCTCATTAGCAGGTCCGGCATCTGAGGAATGAGTGAGTGAGCCTGAAGGCAGGTCAGTAGGAATTCCCCAAACCGAAACACAGAAAGAAAAAACAGAGCATCCCTGTGGCGAGTTAAAAACACTATCAACGTTATATCAAGTCCAACTTGTAATCTGAGTCCCCAGGAGGAGGAGAAGGAATGGGGCGGAAAAAGTATTTGAAGAGATAATGGCTGAAAAGTTTCCCAGAACAGTGAGATATCCGTCTGCCAATCCAAGGTCAGAGAACCTCAAACAGGGCAAAAAGCAAAACAGCAAATAAAGAACCACACAGACCCATCAGTCAAACAAGCATCTGAAAACCAAAGATAAAGAAAAAACTTCCAAGAAAAAAAATCCTAGAGTCTGTCAGAGAAAAAAGACACTTACAACGAAACAATGGCAGGGTCTCAGCAGACATTTTACAAGAGACTGTGCAGGCCAGGGACAATGGGGTGGCTAACGGTGGGGAACACAGCCCTGTCTGTCCAGAGTCCCATACCCAGCAAAAGTAGCTTTCACACATGAAGTTGCCAATAAAGACTTTCTCAGAAACAAAAAGAAGCTGAGAGAGAATTCATTGCCAGAAGGCCTGTGCTTTAAGAAATGTTAGTTTTTCTTTTTTTTCTTTTAATTTTTTAATGTTTATTTATACTTGAGATAGAGAGAGAGAGGGAGAGAATGAGCAGGGAAGGGGCAGAGAGAGGAAGCCACAGAATCCGAAGCGGGCTCCAGGCTCCGAGCTGTCAGCACAGAGCCTGATGCGGGGCTCGAACTCACGGACCGCGAGATCATGACCTGAGCTGAAGTCGGACGCTCAACTGACGGAGCCCCCCAGGCGCCCCAGAAATGTTAGTTTTTCATTCAGAGGAGTATAACAGATGCAGTAAACGGATACCGTCAAAATGAAGATGTTTAAAGATCCTTTTCTGAACTTTCTGACTTTTGAGCTAGAAATCCAATCGACGCTGGGAAAGGCTGGGGTGTGTCCAGCAGCCAAGCACCCCTCCACCGCGGCGCCTGTTATGTGGTCTCCAAATCGCTGAGTCACTGCCCCGAGTGCACTGGGACCGCGGGCCCTCCTCGGTCCGCGTGGGGGGGCTGGGAGGGTGGGGCCCCAGGAGGGACACAGCGGGCCGAGGTGGCAGCAGCTGGCGTGTGTGGGACCCGTGCCCGACGGGGTGTGCGGTCTTCCCAAGAGAACAAGGACTCGTGTTTCAAGTCAAAACAGAAGTGGAGAGAGCCACAGGAAGTCATGACAGGCTGGGTCTCACGGTGAGAAGAAATGAATCAGCATGTATCAGGTGCCTGGCCCACGGTAAGTGCTGAATGTGGCAGGTGTTGTGAAAGCCCAAAGTCCAGCCTTCTGAGCTGGGTGTCGATCAGCTACGGGGACACGCATCACAAGCACTGGTTTGGACGACCTGTCTTCTCCCCTGTCTCAGACCCACCAAGCCCCCCAGTAGTTTCTGGGGTTCGGCAGGACAGACACGCCGTCCTAAACGTTGCTCCCCCTCCTCGGTGCCTGGGGGTGGGGCGGGGACACCCCCAGGAAGAGGTATTGCCACCCCTGGGCCGGCCAACCAGGAGAGGGAGGAGCCCCTGACCCAGGAGATGAGACCCTACAGACCCCACGTGGAGGCCACGCGGAGGCTGAGCGCCAGGGGTGGGCTATTCTGGGATCAGGCACTTTCTCCTTGAAATGTTATCTTCCAGTTTGCAAAGCCATCGCCATCTAAAAATATCTCCAACATGCAGTCAGCCATCCACATCCTGTTTATTTATACAGAAGTGACAGCTGAAACTTTCAATAAATATTTGGAGCCCTGTCAGCAAGGGGGTGATAAGAGAATTCCCCTCAGAGTGTAGACATTCTTCTCTTCAGAAGAACACAGTACTGACTGAAGGGCCCAAAATAATCATGAAAAATATTCTCGCCTTAACCCTCTATTTTCAGTCCTCACATAACCAAACAGTTATCCTGTGTGTGTGTGTGTGGGGGGGGGGGCAAGGACTTTCTATTCTGGGCCTTTAAGCAAACTTTGCTTGGAATGTTCCTGAACACGATGGTGTGAGTTTCCAGTATGTCTGGGTCCCAAGTCAAGGCTCCCGGCACCAAGACTTATTGTTTCCTCGCTGGCAAGAAGGCTGATGCCCACTCCTGCCCCAGGCAAGGTGTCTGCTCTGGGGACACTGTGGTCGCTGGTGTCCCCCAGGTAGCCCTGACTGGTCCTGATGTGGAGTATCTGAGCTGGGGCCCTGGCACCCCAAGACCTGGATTCAAATCCCAGCCCCGCCGCCTATCCCGAGTAATCCTGGGATCGCCTTCCCCCTAACCGGGCGAGCCCTGGCCTCCTTATATGCAAATGAAGACACCACTTGGCAGGGTTACTGGGCAGATCAAGTGAAATGAGGTCAAGGGCCCCACATACAGCAGGTGCTCAATAAGTGGATGTTACCTCATCCCTTCCTTCTGAACAACTGGCGTGTGGCTTATAAAGTAGTCACTTCTCGTTCTACAAACCTGAACAAAAGCAGACCAGGCCACCTGAGTCTAAGCCTCCGAAATCCGAGGAGGAACCACTTTTGGACTTAGGTTCACTTTATCCGTATCAATAGCTTCACCCATCCACCTGGGACCACACGCCCCTCCCCCCCCCCTACCGTGGGTTCCCGCAGCCCCATGCACCTGCCGTGGGGAGCAGC